GCCGGCCTGGCTAGCTGGGCCGAATGGTCCAGGGGGAGGTTCTGTTTCCTTTTTTTTTGTATTTATTTGTTTTCTTTTTATTAGCTTTCTATTTTATTTTCTATAAAATTTTGTTTTATAAAATATACAAGTAGTACCTAAATTAGTGTTACAAAATACCCCAATGCCACAAAAAGTTCGGTGACAAAATAAAATAGTTTAGTAATTTATTAATTGTAAAAGGCATTTAATTAATTGTTTTTGCTACTGTTTAAATCCTTATAGCTCATTTAAGCATTCTATAAAATCTTGGTTTCTCCATCATAATTGCTTACGATTTATTTGAAACAACCCGAACATTTTAGTTTTAATTTTTTGAAAACTTTTGTTGCTTGCTTTTCTTTTGAATTTGAATTTGAATCGGTTTCGATCTAACGCGAGATTAGCAACAGTAACCGTGGTGACGTGGCATCATTAACGGAGGTTTACTGTAGCCTAATTATCCGGGCGTCACACCAATGCCTCGCCCGGGTTCATTTAGAGCCCAAAACCTTGCACGGGTTTAGTTAGAGCCCAACGCCTCACACAAACGCGTACGTGTACGAGAGAAACACGCATCGCTCGGCCCCCGAACACACATCGTAACCGGGAACTCCCCAAAATTTTCCTCGCCCTCGCTTCTACCATGGTTTTTTTTGTCATGGACGGCTCAAAGAATGTCATGCAGCTGCGTCTCCGGCCCCCCAGGATGAAAAGCCCATTTTCTGTCATGATTTTTTGTCATATAAGTAGGAGCCCACCACATCTATGATGATACTGGGTTTTGTCACAATTATCGTCATAGAAGTGTCATAAGTATGACCAAAAAAATTCGTTCGGCCCAAAATGTCACGGATGTGTCTTTTTTGTAGTGTTGAGAGATACCGAAAGTGTCTCGGAGGAGCCGAAAGAGTTTTAGGGTTTTCTGGGTAATACCAAGAATTGTTATATAGGTGGAAATGTTTCTAGGAGACATTAAATAAATGATAAAAGGTTATAATATTTATTAGGAGGCTTTTAGAATTTATTTAATATCAACGGGCTAAAGAAAATACTAAAAGGCCTAGTAGCGGAGAGTTATTGGGCCTTAGAGGCCCAATAAGGTGTGGCGCCCTCATTAGCCTCTTGGGAAGCCAAATTGGAGTAGGACGGGATCCTCTCCCCCTAGGCTGACACACCAAGGAGGGAGTCCTTCACTCCTTGTGGTGGCGCCCCCTCCTCTCCCCTACATCTATATATACTAGAGGTTTTGGCCCTTGGAGACGCACACGTTTTGGAGCCTACTCTAGTTCTCTAGTCCTAGTTCTAATTTAGAGTTGATCTAGATTAGAGCTAGACTTAGTTCCCTCTAATCCTCATAATGGAGAAACCCCATGTGGTTCTCTTCTTCTCCCTCTATTTCTTCGGTGAGGATCAGCTCTGGATGGCGAAGCACTGCCGGATCGTGAAGCTTATATGCCTGCAATTCGTAGGGAGGCCATGCTTTCGGTATTCGGTCTAAGAGTCGTTCATGAACGGTTCGAGGTAATTCATCAACATTCTACACCAACTCTTCTTTCGCTGCAACTCAAAGTTGGTAACCGTACGATCTAAACCTCTAATGCATCTTCATAGTGTTGCAGGAGTCATGATCGTAGGGCAATTTTTTTGTTTTCTAATACGTTTTCCAATAGGAGGGAGACGTTGGCTCAACGAGCTTGCACAGAGAGAATGTCAATTCACCACCGGAAGGGATTGTTACTTTGTGGGAAGTAATGTAGGAGTGACAAGCTCACGGAGATGCCTTAGAAGAAATTATATCAACCAAGGACGACGGAGTGTAAATGGAGGACACAACAACCACTAGGTAGTGAGAACAAAGGATCCATGCGATAGGCAAGACATAGTTTAGCAGGGAGCTCAAAAGGAAAGAAAGAGGACATTACCGGGTTGCCGAGAATGAAAACAAGAACATTGGAGAGCAAAAAGCATGTCGAGTGGAGGCAAAGCAGGGGAATCGACATGGGGAGGGTAGGACAATGCCACCAAGGTGGATGCGGCACCCACAAATGTCGCCATTGTCCACCGGCAAGGATTTCTCCATCCTCCACACAATCAAATGACCCCACACCACCGAGCAACACGCAGAGAAGCAGCGCCCACGGTAGGAAATGATGGACGGACGGATCAGGAGCAGAGCGTTTGGCAAATTGGATCATGTGTGTGTGTGGTGGGGGGGTCCCATTGCTGGACACGAGGTAAGCATTGCTTAGTAGTAGGAAGTTGCAAGAGGGCGACGGGGGGTCGATGTTGGCGCACCTGGTGGCGCCGCAGTCAGCAAGATGACGAGGTGCATGGGTGCCCGAGGATCGACGATGGAGAGGTGGGGGCAGAGCCATACATCAATGCATTAGGCACCGAGAGGTGCATCTTGCGCAGGCACGCAGAGAAACGACGGCTGGCCAAGAGGTGCCGGAGGAGGGCGTGGATGGGAGGAGGAAGCAGGAGGCCGACGAGATTAGAACAACCAGCTAGAGCGGTGCGACGAAGGGGTTGACGCGGTCACCGCTTTGGGGGAGCCGCCTTCGCCGCTAACGTGATTGTGGTGGTGGACCTATGGTACCTAGGGTTGGGTGCCCTGGTGTCGCCCTACGAGCAACACGGGAGCGAATGGGTCTCCCTGTTTTGTTCTAACTTGTTTATATATTGTGAAAAAAACAAAGCAAGTGGTGGAGGCCATAAACAGGTGATGAAGTCAACTTTGATGTGACATAACTGGATGAGCCCTAGACATACCCTATGCTGAATAGTTATACTGAATATTTGGATACTAATTGGAGCAAGATACTAATTGGAGCATGTCATATAAAGATCGTCACAACGGTTACTGCATATGCTTGATAAAATCATCACATCAATCAACAGGCGCAACAAAGGGTTACTGCATATGCTTGATAAAATCATCACATCAATCAACGCGCCCAACAAAGCTCGCCTATCACTCTAGTATATAGAGATACTAGTTGACCCCGTTGCGCCAAATGGTGCAGAGACTTGCTGAAGACATGATGTCGATGAAAATAGTTTCATGCTGTAAAAACCTTCAACTAAATCATGCTATTTTTTAGACATGTTTATTACGTTGTTAAATAATAATCTGGGAAAAGGAAAACTTTGCACAATATGAATATGTTCAGTTTGAAAATATGGCCACTATGATGAGAGAGTAAAGTTGGCATGGTTCTATTTTTTTAGCAAGTTTGAAAACATGGTTATCATGATGAGAAACCTGACAGTGCATGTTTTTCCTGCAAAAAAAGAGAGAAAAATATAAGAAACCTAAGGAAAAAATGTCTTTGTTGTGCATATACGGAGATATATGGATCAGGAGGTATTAGGATAGCCCATATGTTATTTAGCCCAGCCCACGTAGAGCGATGCCTGTGGCCCGTGAGGAGCTGAATATGAAGCGGTCTAGCAGAGACTGTCTATCCCCTTCCTTTCTTTCTCGGTTTCCTTGGTTGGGTGATAGAGGCGTTTCCTCAACCGCCGACCAGTGCGATTTCTTATGCGTTCCGCCAAATGGAGCAGAGACCCGCTAAAACCGTGTTGTCGATGAAAATAGTTTCATTTTGCAAGGACATATTCAGTACTCATTGTAGAAAGCCCGTATATTAAACCCCTCTTTTGAAAATGTCTATCACATTGTGAAATCCAAGTTTGAAAAAAAAATTGTATAACTGTTGCACCAAAAAATATATTTGTATAACACCGCCCATTGCGCTAAATGGCACCAAGTCCCATTTAAAACCATGTACTTGCTACAAATATTTGCATTTTTTCAGTAACTGTGTTTGAGCAAATACATACGGTAAGAACTTAGTAAAAGTTTAATTGATTTTCTGTTTAAGCTCACATAAAATGCAAGATGGCAACAACAGAGCACAATTGTATCATGTGCAACATCAGCCAAAATTAGTTAGCTAATAAATTGTTTGAAGGGAACCAACCATTTCAGAGTAGTTTATTCCACATCTCATTCTCCTTGAAAATGAGCCCAAGCAGACATCAACGAAAATGCAATTGTTTTGATACAACAACGGCAAGAGAAATGAGTAACCATCCAAGAAACAAAATGTTTAAATTAGTTTTTTCTAACCATGGAGGAGAATTGCATGTGAACTTCATAGAATAAGGCCAACGTCAAGGAACAGCATGTTGACATACTCATCCTGCTCTCCATTCTTGTCATCAGTCCCGGTAATCAGCTCCTGACCAACACCTTCAGCAACAACCACGACAATGCCCCTTCTTATTTATCCTTGCATATACAGGAACTCAATCAGGTCTCCCTTCCCTTCAACATGGAAATCAATCTCAAGCAGCAGCCAACTGCTCAGAGTGGCATGAAGAGTAATGTGGCCGGTGCTCCTGCTCATAAGTATGACAAGACCGGTGCCATTCACAACTTCCACATGTGCCGCGTTGATTGCTTGTTCACTACACTCGACAACGCAGTTTAACATATGAAACTAAGCAACTAATCTACAAAAAAGTGTCTAATTGGCTACTTGGCATCCAACCATAAAAAAGTAAACTCACGAGCGAGAAAAAGAACATAGACTTTGCTGCTCCTCATGCATCATCTCCATTGGATAGGTTTTTTTCTGAACCACTGTATGAGGGACCTGGAAGAAAGCAAGACAAAAATATAACTCAGTAAATGAAGACTGCATTTTCCAGTAAATAGAGAGCCAAGGCTTGAGGCGGCAACTAATATGTACAGAATGAAAGAAGCTATCAAAAGTGACCCAAAAAAGGAGAAGGGAAGAAGATTGACACCTGAAAACAAACACTGAGATTTGTAATTTTTGACCTCAGATTGAAATAGTAGGCTAGCTCAGATTCAAATAATTATTAGCTCCACAGTACTCCTATGTGCAACATCTGGATAAATAACCCATAGGATAATCAAGAACAAGTTGGTTTGCCGTATAAGAAGCATCACCAAGGTTACTAACGCCATCATGACTCCAGCTTCAGCAACGCCTAGTTTTTTGTAGAGAATAGTATGAGAAACAAATGAGATGTTTGCTTTGCTGAGAATAAAGAACATCATATGCAATGTCCATAGTAAAATGGAGCTGTAACTGGCTATCAGTAGATTATTACACAACACAGGAAGTATGTTACAACATGGAAAAAAGTTGAAAAGCATTCTTAAATAGGTTACTGAAGATATATATTCTAGATGTTTAAACAAGGTACTGATGCAAATTCCTAAAGACAAAAGCACGGACTATATGCATTGGCAATATTGTCCGTACTCCTAAAGAGGTGTCGAGTATTTTGAAGGCAACCAAGAACTATTGCCTGCCCTATGCAAGAGAAGGTTGAAGATATAGGTTGACTGGCAATAAAAATAGTAGCCACAACAGAACTTGTGCTTTGCAAATACAATTTTTTCAACTTTTGCAGAATGGAAAATGAGCTTTTATTGCGCCTTGTTTCTTAGTGGGATGTGCATACCAACCATATCAATATGGAAAATTACCCCACTTCACGATAGTGTCAAATCAAGCTATAGCCTAAAATACCACGTGAAAAACTTGTAGAAAAATTAGAAAACAAATTATAGGTGTCTATCGATATAGACTGATGCCTTCCATGTACACATGGATACTCAGTTGCCATCACATTATGGACATACACTGTATTTTTGCCGACTCGAAACCTTCACTTAGAAAAAAATGTTTTTAGATCAGCACATCAGTATGCTGATATATTGATGCTGTTTTTAGGGACATACATGGTACACATGGAATCCCTGATGGTGTTTTTATATCAGCACCATTTGGAATCCTTGTTTTGGGAAGGGAAGAAGTATGATGTAAATTTTACATACGTATGAATTGAGCCTGGTTGTGTAGTAAGAGAAAGCAGTTTTTAAAGAAAAGACAGAACTACTTACGTAGTGGCTTTTCTATGTGCCCATATAGGAAGTATTAGACCATCCAAAAGGTCGATCTCTTGTGATCTTCCAGCTATTGTACAACATCAATATTCTTCTCATTAAAGCTTTCTTTGCTCATTCCGAACACTTCTTGGGGAGAATCGTTAGCTGATGACTTGTAATTAGGTACTTGCTGACCAAACTAAATCATGATTGTGCCATTTTCTGCCAGAGAAACATAAAAAGTGTTATAACTCAAATAGTAGCAGGAAATCAGTATATACATCACATAGCCAGTCAAGTAGGATAATGGAACTGAAACATTAGAATTGAAAAATACCATGCATATTTCCCTTGTGTCTCATCTCATGGGCTTCTACTCTTGCTTTCAGTTCAAGTTGTCCATATAAGTAAGCAGCTGGTCAGTCACAATAACAAAATAAAGAGATACTATCCAAATAATATATAAACGTTGAACCTTGAAGAGATAGTAGAATTGCTCCTCGCAGACACACAAAAAATAGCCACAGATTATGCAGCCAGTAGGCCCTTATATTCACTCAAATTTAACATCATGCCCATGTTAAATGTTGTACTCATTTGTCCATATAAGCAGCAAGTCAGTCACAACAGATTAAAAGATATCATCCAACTAATATGTAAATGATGAACCATGAAGAGATTGTAGAACTGCTCCTCGCACACACAAAAAAAATCTAAAATAATATAGCCCCAGATTATGCACCCAGTAGGCCCTTAGATTCACTCAAATTTAATATCATGCCCATGTTAAAGGCAGTACTCATTTTTGTATATAGTGGTGGAAGTATATACCCGCGCATCCCAAAAGATTCACATCAGACAGGGCATCAACCAGGCCCCCCCAATCAGAAGTTATGATGTTTAAGGTATGATGTATCAAGCAATCGACCAACCAATCTATACGAGCAGAAAAAACCCTTACTCTGCATGATTTGCTAGTTCCCAATTAGATAAATCCGAATCACTCATTCATAAGCTCACGAGTTCCCCCACTTAAATCTTGAAAGCAAAGGAACTCGGGAATCATACAGTACATAAGTCAAGTATTTTCTGTAGTTTGACAATCATGTGTGTCATCATGAAGTAAGAATTCTTCCTTCCATTCTTTATCCAGAAGCAGGTCTCAAACTAATAAACTATAGTCCTAATTTCATAGTTTAGAACCCACCAAAACAGAATAAAAGAAATGCATGAATAGTAGGTTATAAATTCGGTTATAACAAACCAAAAACAACAGGCACTAAATAAACAAAATATTGGACCACTTGGGGTTTTTGTCACAGAATTATACCAAGGTTGAACACAGATTTCAGTTCAGGGTGAGTCCCATGAGAACCTTTTCATACTCTGTTGGCTTTCTTCTAAATCCATGATCAACAAAGGTGGCTTTGGTTACCATTCTCTTCTACTGCTTGGCTGCAGAAGGAAAAAATTATCAGCTAAACTATCCGGCTCGGTGCAGAAGAAATACTATATATATTCTGTGCTAACATTGACTGAAAATTCATAAAAGCAACTTCAGACTGAAAATCGTGACCACCATCTGAGTCACCGAGGACGAAGTAAAACAAGACACATATTACTGAAATGTACTTAAATATTACTGAAATGTACCAATGATGGCCGCTATGACCGCCGGCATAGGGATCACCTACCACTCAAAACCCAACCATTCCATGCCATACCTCATCATCTGCAAAACAGCCAAGTAGAAAAATAATTTTGTAAGCAATTATCTTCGAGGTAGGCATTACAATAACCAGCGGGTTGTGCTGCCACCTCCACACAAAGTCATGAGATGGAAAGGATAGAACAAAATCACTAACTCACGCACCCTGCACATGGAAAGCCCAACGTCGGTGTTGCTTCTCTCAGGCAATGGCGAAGGCAGAGGCCGGCTCCTCGACCCAGCTCCGGCTTTCAACAAAACACAAAACAGATTTTTAACATCCACAATTTGGACTGGGTAATTTGGAACAACTGATTCAACGTCTATAATTTGACCCTGCTAACAAATGATTTATTGGACAACTTGGACTGCTGTACAAAATTTAAGAGTGGAACTAATTGCTCAGTTTCCAATTTTTTACTTGTCACATCCACTGAATAAGGTGAGCTCATTCTCTGATGCAAACAAAAAAATGCTTGGGAAAATCTTAGAAACAGTAGTAGCAAGTTAAAGATCAAGTTGAACAGAGTAAGGTCTAAATGGCATCTCCCTTTTTCTAAAAGGCAAAAGATCTTATGGCCTCGTGACTGAATAAGATGTGTAGATGGAGAAGCGTATGAATCTTCTTAGTACAACTTAACTGAATTCACTAACTTGAAGTAACAATGAAGAAAGAAGAAAGCATTCATAAAATGCAGATTCTCTCTTCTTTGAACATATTACATGACTCGACATCTTCTTGTAGGAAAGAAAAAAATCAAAGAAAGAAGGATAAAATAAGAACAAAGCCATGAACAGAGCATCGAGGAATCGATATAACAAATTTGAAATACAATAATTTTAGAATCTTGCAAAAATCACAACAAAATTTGAAGTAGTTATGAACAATTAGAAATACATTATACTGAAGGTTGAGTAAAATCTATCTTTTTGATTGAGCAATATATAGCTGCAGATATTCTGCAAAATCAATACATAACAAGAATCTAAGCCTCTTTAGACTCCTTTTTCTGGATAAATATGCAGGCTTTCGATGGAAAATTTTACAATATATTTGTTCTATGAACAAAGGCTTCCTTTCACTCCCTTTTTTGAAGTGGGTCTCATGCCATCAGCAGCCCAGCACCAAACAGCCAGCACCCAGTTACAACAATCATGCACGCAGCAACAAGCTAGCAAAAAAAAAAAACACCACCATGGATCCAAGGCCGAGAGGAGGAGGCCGCGTGGAGAGACAGACTGTGAAGCTCACCTCGGTGTTGGCACCGGATGCGGTCGCCGTTACTCGACGTGTGCGTAGCTCCCCAGCCGCGCCCTTGGCCATGGCCGCCGCGCCCGACTGTTGCCTGCCCTCATCGCCCACCTCCTCTGCCCATTCATCCCACCACCGAGCTCGCCTAACCCGCACCTGATCTGGAGCCAGGCCTCGCTGACGGGCGCAGACAACGAAGAAAAGGAAGGTGAAGTGGTGGGGCTAGGCCCCGGGGCGGAGGCCATGGCGAGGCGAGGAGGAGGGATGGAGGAGGCGGGAGAGGCTGTGGGGATCGCAGGGAAACAGGGCTAGGGTTTGGGTGGTGGTTGGTGCGGGAGTGGGACGAGGCGAGGATGGATTGGCTGTGGGATGCAGGGTAGGGATAGGCCAAAACCTCATGCACCCGGGCACGACCAACCCAGCCAATAAGCACGCGAGACGAGCCCACTCGTCCTTGGCCAGCCAAAACAACCGCGAGGTGAAAATCAGCTTTGACCGTGAGGTGAAGATCTACGATCCAGCCACGCGAGAAGGCTAGATCTGACGGCCGACGAAGGAACCGATCGGGGGAGCCTTGTCCATGCGAGTTGGCCAGCCTCATTATTGTTTTAAATGGCGTATTTGGTCTGTTTTAGCCCCCATTGTCATTATGAAACTAAGTTTACATTACAACAACGGCAAATAAATGACAATGCAATTCAGTATAACTATGCAGCAACTAATAAAGAAACATCATGAGACATATTTCAATTTACATGGCAGAAAGTATCACCCATGAAACACGCATCACCGGCTATTTCGACTGCCGCACGTCCGACTTGCCAGACGGCATGCTGCGGACGTTCTTCAGCAGGTCCTGGATCTTGGACAGCATCATCATCTGTGATGAGTCGCCAGGGGTGAGGGCCGCGGTGGCAGCACTACTGCTCGCCTGGGGAGGCACCGTTGCCAGCGGCCTCGGGTTCTCCCGCAGCTTGATCTTCTCAAAGATTGACTGCTTCTCTGCCTCGGCCTCCTCCAGGCGGCGCCTGAGGTACATGCTCGCATAGTCCTGCTCCGCCTTCTCCGACTTGGCCAACGCAATGCTCTGGAGCTGCTCTGCCTCCTGCCGGGCCTCGTTGGCCTTCAGCTGGAACATCTCGGCCTCAGCACTCTTCAGCCGGATCATGCTCTCCAGCTCCTCCACCTGCTGCTGCTTACGCAGCTGCTCCGCCTTGAGCTCCCGTGCCTCCCGTGTCTTCTCCTCCAGCTCACGCTCGCAGGAATCCACCGCGAGGCGAGCCTTCTTGAACATCTGCATCTTCTCTTCAGCCACGGTCTCCATCTTTCTGACAGCCTCTTGGACAACCTCAGCAATTCGATTGCAGGCCTCATGTGGAGTGATCAGGCGCCCCAATTCTTCATTTTCGGACATCTTTGAAAAATCCATCTCAAGCTCTGCCAAATAAGTAATAGTTAATACAAAAGGTCTGAATTACAGCTTAGGCAGATACAAGCCGATGGCATGCAGACGTAAATAAACCCACAAAGCTGATCACACCAAAAATACTGGAACAAAATCCAGTAATAAACACTCACCTTTTGGGCTGTTTGGTACACTGCAAGACTATAATATGGAGGGCCTTTAGCCATTGATCAGTATATGATCAAAAGATTATAAAATCACAGTTACACATTAACAGAAAAACTGACACCAAACTTGTAGATAATCTGACTAACAAAACAATATGCTAGAAAAAGAACCACAGAAGATAACCAATTCAGCTGCATGACAGAGCACTCAAATATCTTTTACTTGGGAACGATAATGAATGCACCAATTGTAGACAAAGTATGTTCATCTTAGATTCATAAACAATATTACTGCCGCAGATAACAAACGAGTAGATCTGAGTTGAATGGCAGAGGCACCGTCACCCAACCAGTAGTACTTGCCCCGTTAAATAACAGGGAAAAAAGTACTAGGTGCATTAGAATATACTTAATACTGCTGATATGCCTGGAGAGTTCATGGTGGTGGGATACCTCATCTTTCACTATTTCGATAGTTCTAAGAACATGGTTTTACTACAATTTTGTGGAGGACAGTACTATCGTTTCAGTGCAGAAGCATTCTGGATTTTTTCAGAGAATGCCTATTGATCTACTGAACTCGTATAACTGTGATTTAGAATGCATACTGATCTACCGAATTCGTATAACTGTCATTTATGGTATTGTCAGAGAATGCCTGTTGATCTACCAAATTTGTATAACTGTCAGCGATGTGTAGAGGGAGGCTTGCAATGTACAGAGTTACAGCAGAAGATCCCAAGCCCAACCAAAATGCTACAAAAAGAGTTATGTTTTATATGAGAAAAACATGAATTCAGAAAATATATTCAAACAATAGTTTTGACTATCCAGCTAGAAAGCAAGAAGTATAGCATAGTCAAAGATGAAACCAAATAGCAAGAGAAGCATGACTTAACTCAGCATGATAAAATGAGCAAACAAAACTGGAACACGTAAAAGCATGGTTTAGTTAACTAAGTGCATTTACCTTGGAGTGCCGGCAGCAGCGCTCTAGGACTCATGGATTGAGCAGTACCACTTCTTAGTCTTTCGATCAGATCATCACATCTCCTGAACAAGTTCCTCCCTTTTGAGTCCTCGCTTAGACGGAAAATCTTACAAACACACTCAAGTTCTCGTAACAACGCATCCCTGTCCCAGCCAGGAGCACATTGTTGGAATACATCCCTAACCCACCCCAACAGCTCAGATGTCCTTTGGCAGGCTTGGCACCGAAAAAGCATCTCCGGATGGGCAATTCCGTTATTAATTTTCTGTCCGGACCCAATCTGCTCATCACGGATTGCACAATCAGTGTGAGTCCAGTGAGAGCAGACATCACACCCAATCCAGCTGCATGTATTGACTTCAAAGTCAAACTTATTGCAGATCACACACATGCAAAGGTTGCAAAAGCCATTCCTGTTGCTACATATATTGCACCTACACTCTTCGGCAGGGAGAGCACTCTTACAGGCGATGTTCCGGCACCTCTTGTACAAGTAAACCTCAGCAAGATGACTCAGGGGTAAATTAACACTTGGATGCAAAAATGCCTGGATTCCAGTCTTGATGGCAACAAGAATCTCCAGCTGAACATGGTGTGGCATCAAAAGTGTAGTTGGTGTCAAATCCACCCTATTCTGGACGACCTTCTGCAGGTACAAGAACTCCTCAACATGATGAGAACCCCCAGTTCCTTCAAGAATTGACCGAAGTTCACTCTTGATTTCATCCAACACCTCATCTGGCATAACCTTCATTTTCTCAGCGACTAGATCAACCCTTTCCCGAGCAACCTCCCGGAGAGTCACTCTACCGGTACTTGGGATCCTACGAATGACTTGCCGTTCAGCAACACCTTTGGTGGCTACCTCCTTATCTTTATCCACTATTCTAATAGTGGTCGCAGCATCACCACCACTGCTTTTGTTTGGCTCTACAGGCCAGGTCTCCCTTGAACTGGCACTCTCAGTGGCAGAGTCATGACCCGGGTCAGAATTTGACGCACGCTCCTGCATATCTGGCGTACCAACTTGGTCTGACGAGGCCAAAGAGAGGGAAGTCTGCAGGTTTGGGGTGCCCCCATTGTGCCGTGGGGGCGGCATCCCCTGTGGAAACTGTTGATGGAAATTTGCGCCTGATGAGGTTCCCATCCAAAATCAAAACCTAGCAAAGCATGTAGGCAATAATAACTGACATCAATCACCCGGTTAACACTTGGCACTTTGAGCATCACTTTGTGTACCAATATAATAGAAGAACCTATCTTGTGTTATGAAGCAAATCAATAATGAGTTTGCACATTTATTTCCCGAATTGCACCGGTAATCTTACTCATCGAATAACATTTCCACACAGCAGCCACAAAATTTATCCCCTAAATTCCCAGGTCAAAAACAAGCGGGACAATTATCTACATTTATTTCTAGTACTCCAGTAATCTTAGTCACCAAACAACATATCTAGACAGAGCAGCCACATAACTTATCCGCTAAGCTCCCCAATTCAAAAACAAGCGGTACGACTATCTGCTTATATTTCCAAAACTGCTCAAGTTATCTTGAGTTACTAAGAAACAAAAACCTAGCCAAATCTGCACGTGAAAATGATCGTCATCAGCCACTTGCTTAAGACTGGCATTTCAAGCATCAGTTCACATACCAAAAGAACAGCAAAACCTATCGTATGTCACCAAGCAAATTATGGATGCTCAAAAACAAGTAGAACAATTTTCTGCTTTTATTTCCAAAATCAACCCAGTAATCCTAATGACCAAAGGCACCTTAATCACCAAACAACATCTCCCCAACTTAAATGGTTTTGGAACAGGTGCTGGCTGGAGGGGACAAGAGGCGGAGTGGTGTCTCATCTTCAGCATTGCCGGCAGCGGGTCTCGGCGGCGTGGTGCAGTAGAGTATCGGTGCTGGAAGTGTTGATAGGCACACGCAGGAGGGCGGCGCGGTGTAGCATCGTGGTGGAGTCAACAGCAGAAGGGCCTGGCAAGGTCTATGCATGGATTACTCCTAAAGATGAGACGGCGGAAGATGGCGGGGGCGGATTGCTGAGCGTGCACATGCGGTGTGCACTCAGGATCTGCTAGACCGGTTAGTGATCCTGGCTAGCCGGCAGGCGGCTTGGTGAGGCCACCGGGATACTCGGTGTGGCAGGAGGTCAGGACACATCATCAAGCTCTTAGGTAGGGCGACTCTGTGCGCCAGGATGGAGGCTTTGGGTTGACTACTGTATGTATTTTGTAAGGCCATGTTGAATAATATAAGAAAGATGGTTGTGTGCATCGTTTGATGCAGAGGCCGTGGGTTATCCTCCTTTAAAAAAAAATCCAACTTAAAAAAGAAACAAGGGGTACAACTTCCTGTGTACATATTCCAGAATTTCCACAGTGATCTTAATACACAAACGCCATCTCTACACAGAGCATCCACATATAATCTCCTCCAAGCTCTCAAAATCAATCAGGGCGAATTTCTGCATACTCCCTCCATTTTTATATACAAGGCCACAAACTCATATTACAGGACAAATTTCTGAGTATATTTCCAAAATTGCTAGTAATCTTAAGGTTTTAATAACCAAAACGTCTATGCCCATACCAGTATCACAATTTTCTCTCCTAATGTCCTCAATTCAAGTTGCAAACCCAAAATCTAGCAACAAATTCCCCTATTTAATCTGCCGAAACCTCAGTTCGACTAACAAATCGTCTCCTCCTCGCAAATGAGACGAAATCGACAAAATAAAAGGAGGGGGAGGGAGCAACCCAGAGGCCTAGACGCCGGAACCCATCCTCCACACCCAGACCCGCCACCAATCCGTCCCGGGGTATATTCCACTCCCACCGGACGGGAAGCAAGAGCCAAACTAGATCCCACAAACCTCAGCCTCCACGGGGCAAACCTGGGTTCAGAGAGCTCACCTCGGCGCGACGGAGTGATCTACACGGACGGGGAGACGGCCCGAGTAACGAATCTCTGGTGCCGGGTAAGGCTCCGGCTCTGCCGACGACGTTGACGAGGAGGAGCTCGGGAAGCAGATGAAGAAAGATTTTCTCTATTCCGTTTTCAGTAGGAAAAAGAAAGGGACGAAATGGTGCGAGTCCAACCAGAAAGACCATGGAAGGTGGTGACCATTTAGCCGGGTAGGCGGCTAGGATGTGACCTGCTACTATCGGTAAGCGGCTAGGATGTGACCGGGTTGACTTTTACAAGCGTTGCTGTCATTTAGCCGTGAGTCAAATACACTTGCGCATGGAAGTTTTCTCGCAATTTTTTTTTACAGAGAATAGAGCCATTAAATAGTTTTTAAATGCCATGAGAAAAAATCAGAAAAATGTAAAAAAAAAAAGTTGCCCTGTTCATGAAGTTTCTTTTAACAAATACTGTCACAAACGCTCATACATACGCGCATACACTCACCCCTATGGACGCACACACGCACACCCTACCCTATAAGCATCTCCGAGAGTCGTCGACGAGAACGTCTCCTCCCACTATTAAAATAAATTCAGGAATAATGCGAGCATCAGGACTTGAACCCTGGTGGGCTGAGGATACTACTATTACTCTAACCATCCAACCACAGGTTGTTCGCGCCCTATTCATGAAGTTGATAGTTGATTTTGATCAGGAAGTTGGCACTGGGCTTTGGAATTGATTCTGGACCCCCACCTGTTCAGGACACCCCGCCTGCTCAGGACGATCCCATAACATATTTTCTAGAGGGGGGACACGCTTGACCGAGCGCAAAAACAGGAATTCGGAAATATTCTGAATTTCTTATGTGTGCAAAAAAAGGTAACAGTAATAAAAATGCACCTCCCAAATTAAAAGTGACATCCGATCCTCAAAAAAAGGTGACATCCTCTTAAAAAGTAAAAGTGCCATCCTCACAATAAAAAAAATGTCAATTCTATTATAAAATAAAAAATGTCATGCTCTTATAAATAAATTTGCCATCATCTTGTCTTATAAAGAAAAAATGCCATCCTCTTATAATGCAAAAACTAGAAGGGTTGGACGCGCTTCGCTGCGCGGTTGATGTTGTTGGATTTCATAAATATTTTTTTTGTTTGGTGTGTGTGTGGGGAGGGGGGGTATGATGATGAAGTTTGTTTCTTTTTTTTTATAATGCGTTATTTTGATAGCCTGCCTTCGAGAGTATAATTATGTGTTATATGTAAATTAACCCACGCCTATGCAGGGAAGTTACTTACAGTGGTGGCCACATGTATTCTATTGATGTTATAGCGTTGCATGTTGAAAAAAATCGGCAAGTGACAAAAGGGTGCGAGACTGATGTATTTTTATAAGTTGGTTGTTGCGGATTGAATTGAGAAATCATTACCAGTCAAAATCATGAACCAAATTCAAAATTAAACGCCTCACCTCACCTGAATGAGAGAGCTTCTTGAGAAAATGTCGACCAAGTCAAAAATTAAGAACTCAATCAAAATCATATTGATGCTATAGTGTAGCATGTTGGCATTTATTTTCTGAGATGACGAGAGAGTGTGCAAGATTGATATATTTTTATAAACTGGTTGTTATCGATTGATATGAGAAATAATTGACCAGTCAAAATCATAAATCAAATTTAAAATTAAACACCTCACTTGGATGAGAAAGGTCCTTAAAAATTTATTGACCGAGTCAAAATTGGGAAGCCAATCCAAAACAAGGAGCTTAGTGATATAGGAGATGTCATCCTCTTGTAATAAAATTGCCATCCTCACAGTAATAAAAAATGTCAACCTATTATAAAAATGAAAAATGCCACCCCTCGTATAAATAAAAATGCCATCCTCTTATACCAAGAATAATATCCTCTTATAATAAAAAAATGTCATACTCTTATAATAAAACTGCCTTGTGACAAGTAAAAGAACCAGGATTTTGGACGAATTAAAAAACAAAAGGCTTCAAAATGCCAAAGTAATATATAAATGTCAGCTTTACCATGAATGTTCACAAAACCCCCCTCCAGCCCATTGGCAAAAAGCCCAGTGCTCTTGCAAAGAAGTCGATGATAATCACTTTGGTCCGTAAAGTTAACAAATAGGGTGAACCAGTGCTCAAGCTTGTGTTCTTTTAGAGAAATGTCTTGGCAAAGAAAAATAAAATAGGGAGCTATACAAAAACAAAACAAACCTATAATAGACCTATGGCAAACAAGGCAAACAAACAAAACAAATACAACAAGTAAATACATGAAGGCCAACTATTTAAAAGCATTATCCCAAGCTTCAAAGTGCACATAGTCCTTTTGAGTTCCTCTATGAGTGAGCTAATGAAGTTCCATTTTAAATTTTCTCCTCCAACTGTAAAGGTTTTGTTGCAATATGCCCTAGAGACAATAATACCGTATTACTATATTTCAATATTTATAATTAAGAGTTTATATTCTATGCTATAACTGCTATGATCCTAGAATATGCGATTTAGTGAAAAACTCATATGCACGTGTGGAATGATAAATGGTAAAACCTGATCTCTGGACTCGCCTCTAAGACTAGCTCAAGTGTTGTTAGTGACCATGTTTTCCGGATCTTAGGATATCATTAGGTGTAATGATAGTCCTATTTTTTTGAGAATATGACATTGCAAGAACGATCATATTGAATTAACCCAAACTTGTTTGTTATACTTTGAGGTACTGATGCAGGATGGAACCCTAGGGCCGATCTTTCACAATTTAGAGGGGATCCCACGAAGAACACGACGAACACATGAGGGGAAACACGAGGAGAAACAAGAGGAAACACTCAAATCAACGGGATACGATCACACATGTGCTAGATCCATGAACACAAAGAGGTCACAAAGATCCAAAGACAACAAAGGAAGAATACAAGTAGCTAGTTCTTCTCCAAGAGGAGGTATTAAATCCACTAGGGGTCTTCCCTTGTGGGCTCTTGAATCCACTTAGGATCTTCTCCGCCGAGGCCTCGGTCTCCAATGGAGCATGTATCAATTGGATGAGCAAAGCTCTATCTCTAAACTAGGCTAAACCAATGCTAACCCTAATAAGAGAGAGAGGAGGAGTATATATAGTCTAGGGGGACAAATGGGTACATGGGCCTCAGCCCTAGCCTCTGTGCGTAGACAGGCGTCGGACGTCTCACCATTACCGGTCATCT